CCTGGAGAAGAGAGAAGTGTAGAGGAGAGAGAGAGATTTTGGGAAATGTTGAGTGAATGCGTGGGGAGTTTTGAATCAAGTGTGAGAGTAATGGTGGTTGGGGATTTCAATGCTCAAGTGGGTAAAAATGTTATAGAGGGAGTAGTAGGTAAATTTGGGGTGCCAGGGGTAAATGTAAATGGGGAGCCTTTAATTGAGCTATGTGTAGAAAGAGATTTGGTAATAAGTAATACATATTTTTATTAGATTATGTATTGGTGGATAAAATGTTGATGGGTAGGCTCCAGGATGTACATGTTTATAGAGGGGCAACTGATATATCGGATCATTAATTAGTTGTAGCTACAGTTAGAGTAAGAGGTAGATGGGAAAAGAGGAAGGTGGCAACAACAAGTAAGAGGGAGGTGAAAGTGTATAAACTAAGGGAGGAGGAAGTTCGGGTGAGATATAGGCGGCTATTGGACGAAAGGTGGGCTAGAGCAAAGATGAGTAGTGGGGGGGGAGGGGGGTTGAAGAGGGTTGGAATAGTTTAAAAAATGCAGTATTAGAATGTGGGCCAGAAGTTTGTGGTTATAGGAGGGTGGGGGCAGGAGGAAAGAGGATGATTGGTGGAATGATGAAGTAAAGGGGGTGATAAAAGAGAAAAGGTAACTTATGAGAGGTTTTTACAAAGCATAAGTGTTGTAAGAAGAGCAGAGTATATGGAGAGTAAAAGAAAGGTAAAGAGAGTGGTGAGAGAGTGCAAAAGGAGAGCAGATGAAAGAGTGGGAGAGGCACTGTCAAGAAATTTTAATGAAAATAAGAAAAAATTTTGGAGTGAGTTAAACAAGTTAAGAAAGCCTAGGGAAAGTATGGATTTGTCAGTTAAAAACAGAGTAGGGGAGTTAGTAGATGGGGAGAGGGAGGTATTAGGTAGATGGCGAGAATATTTTGAGGAACTTTTAAATGTTAAGGAAGAAAGAGAGGCAGTAATTTCATGCACTGGTCAGGGAGGTATACCATCTTTTAGGAGTGAAGAAGAGCAGAATGTAAGTGTGGGGGAGGTACGTGAGGCATTACGTAGAATGAAAGGGAGTAAAGCAGCTGGAACTGATGGGATCATGACAGAAATGTTAAAAGCAAGGAGGGATATAGTGTTGGAGTGGTTGGTACTTTTGTTTAATAAATGTATGAAAGAGGGGAAGGTACCTAGGGATTGGCAGAGAGCATGTATAGTCCCTTTATATAAAGGGAAAGGGGATAAAAGAGACTGTAAAAATTATAGAGGAATAAGTTTACTGAGTATACCAAGAAAAGTGTACAGAAGGGTTATAATTGAAAGACTTAGAGGTAAGACAGAATGTAGGATTGCAGATGAGCAAGGAGGTTTCAGAGTGGGTAGGGGATGTGTAGATCAAGTGTTTACATTGAAGCATATATGTGAACAGTATTTAGATAAAGGTAGGGAAGTTTTTATTGCATTTATGGATTTAGAAAAGGCATATGATAGAGTGGATAGAGGAGCAATGTGGCAGATGTTGCAAGTATATGGAATAGGTGGTAAGTTACTAAATGCTGTAAAGAGCTTTTATGAGGATAGTGAGGCTCAGGTTAGGGTGTGTAGAAGAGAGGGAGAATACTTCCCGGTAAAAGTAGGTCTTAGACAGGGATGTGTAATGTCACCATGGTTGTTTAATATATTTATAGATGGGGTTGTAAAAGAAGTAAATGCTAGGGTGTTCGGAGAGGGGGTAGGATTAAATTATGGGGAATCAAATTCAAAATGGGAATTGACACAGTTACTTTTTGCTGATGATACTGTGCTCATGGGAGATTCTAAAGAAAAATTGCAAAGGTTAGTGGATGAGTTTGAGAATGTGTGTAAAGGTAGAAAGTTGAAAGTGAACATAGAAAAGAGTAAGGTGATGAGGGTATCAAATGATTTAGATAAAGAAAAATTGGATATCAAATTGGGGAGGAGGAGTATGGAAGAAGTGAATGTTTTCAGATACTTGGGAGTTGACGTGTCGGCGGATGGATTTATGAAGGATGAGGTTAATCATAGAATTGATGAGGGAAAAAAGGTGAGTGGTGCGTTGAGGTATATGTGGAGTCAAAAAACGTTATCTATGAGGCAAAGAAGGGAATGTATGAAAGTATAGTAGTACCAACACTCTTATATGGATGTGAAGCTTGGGTGGTAAATGCAGCAGCGAGGAGACGGTTGGAGGCAGTGGAGATGTCCTGTCTAAGGGCAATGTGTGGTGTAAATATTATGCAGAAAATTCGGAGTGTGGAAATTAGGAGAAGGTGTGGAGTTAATAAAAGCATTAGTCAGAGGCAGAAGAGGGGTTGTTGGGGGTGGTTTGGTCATTTAGAGAGAATGGATCAAAGTAGAATGACAGGGAAAAAGGGCATATAAATCTATAGGGGAAGGAAGGCGGGGTAGGGGTCGTCCTCGAAAGGGTTGGAGAGAGGGGGTAAAGGAGGTTTTGTGGGCAAGGGGCTTGGACTTCCAGCAAGCGTGCATGAGCGTGTTAGATAGGAGTGGAGACGAATGGTACTTGGGACCTGACGATCTGTTGGAGTGTGAGCAGTGTAATATTTAGTGAAGGTATTCAGGGAAACCGGTTATTTTCATATAGTCGGACTTGAGTCCTGGAAATTCGAAGTACAATGCCTGCACTTTAAAGGAGGGGTTTGGGATATTGGCAGTTTGGTGGGATATGTTGTGTATCTTTATATGTGTATGCTTCTAAACTGTTGTATTCTGAGCACCTCTGCAAAAACAGTGATAATGTGTGAGTGTGGTGAAAGTGTTGAATGATGAAAGTATTTTCTTTTTGGGGATTTTCTTTCTTTTTTGGGTCACCCTGCCTAGGTGGGAGATGGCCGACTTGTTGGAAAAAAAAAAAATCACCTTTCTCTTATCTATGTTCACTTTCAATTTTTACCTTTACACACCCTCTCTTATCCTAGTAATTTATACAGAAGGGGTTACTAGCCCCTTGCTCTTGGCATCTTAATCACCTTTTATGCCAAGCATGGCTTACAAAGGATGAATTCTCATTCACTTCCCCGTAGAGATGAAAGTAAACACTAAAAGAACAAGAACTCGAAACTGATTAGAAGAAAACTCGGACGAGCGTGTTTACACATACTAGTCCAATTAGCTGGACCTGAATCCTGGAGATGGGAGTACAGTGCCTGCACTCTGAAGGAAGGGTGGGGATGTTGCAGTTTAGAGGGTTACCTGAACTATGATGTCAGTGCCATTCTAGCAAGACAGTAATTCAACGAGCAACAGTGAAAGTGTCACTTGTCAAGTCAGCCTGCCTAGGTTGAAGATGGCTGAAGTGTCAAGAAAATAATTTTAAACTATTATACCGTGTGTGGAGAGTTTCTCCAGGAGGGGGATTTATCAGTCCCCTTCTGCTTTTTTCAGCCCTGAGGGGCCCACCCTTCTCAGAAAGGGCAATGGCATCTTGCTTCTGCAGCAACACTTTAATTGGAAGCATATGACCGTGTGTTATGACCAGTATTGCAACTAATGTGGCTGACTAGTGTTACAACCAATGTGAGTTAACGAGAGTAATTAATCTCCGTATTGCAACAGTAAAGTAACAGGAAATCTCCTACCTCACTTTATTCACATTGGAGAATAATGAACTCTCAGTGATTGAGACATATCAAGAAATCAAGCATTTGTGTTGCAAACTGTTGCAGTTTGGCAAAGAAGGAAAAAACACTAGTGTCAGCGAATCCTTTACGTGATGGTAAGTCAGGCCAGCGAGGGTCGCTGCGGGGTAGATTTCTTTTAGACTTCGTCAAGACAACTCGTGCATCACACTGTAATAACAAAGACTACAGTGATCACGCATTTTTGTGCGTAAAAGAATCTCAACAGACACAGCACAACAATTACAGAGAAGTGTGATCAGCTTCCTGTAATTATATCACAGTGAAAAGAACAAATCTTGTGGAACATTACACAAATAGCCCGCACATAAAAGAGAGAAGCTTACGATGACGTTTCGGTCCGACTTGGTTAGTGTGACTTTGTAAATGGTCCAAGTCGGACCGAAACGTCGTTGTAAGCTTCTCTCTTTTATGTGCGGGTTATTTGTGTATCGTTCCAGTCACGGTATTGTGCCTTTTTTTTTGTTTTTTGTTACTTGTGGAACATAGTGTACAAGTGTGCGTATTCTTAGACTGTGGAAGACGTGGATATCCAAGGACACTTCAGCTTCTATCAAGTCACCAATACCTGTCAAAGATGGTGCATCCAACACCATAGCTCACGCTACAAAAGCAAGGTAGGTTTTGAACCAACTTGTTATGCATGGGACTGCGCAGTTCTTAGTGTCACAAGGGGTTCAAAATCATCCTATAGTTGGCAGTAAGGTGTGGGCTTTTGAGCCCAAACCAATACGTATAACTTCAGCAATCAGTTTCTGAGATATGCTGAATAATATCCTCTAGAGGTAATTATACTTATACCACCAATCTTTATTAACAGCCCAAGTGTGGTTACATTGATGACTCCAAGAACTTTCTGGAAGCGGCTGCAGAACAATGGAATCGTCATGAAGCTAAATCCCAATACAGTTCACTTATTATATGACTTTGCTTGTTTGTACGGAAAAACCCCTATACTGTGCCAAATACCGTGCATTTCTTCGAAAATAGTTTTGACATCAGTTTTGCATGAAAAATTATCTATACCCTTAAAAAATAAATTTTTCATAAAATATTTCAGGCTATTCCAGTCTCATAACACCTTAAAATCAGGCATTTGTCATTTTACACTAAGACCATGGAAAATCAATTACGTAATTTCAATGCAGTGGACATTCAAACTAATCAGACATCCCATTTTCACTATTAGACTCTTATATTAAGAAGCTACTGTATCAGCACAAGAGAAAAAAATTTACATTCATCTTTTTAACAATTTAACAAATACACATTTGTCTGCCACAAAAACATAATTAAAATTTAGCATAAGATAAATTCCTAACCTGCAGGATGATGTCCCTGAGAATGAGGTCTCTGTGGAGGAAGAGCTGGAGCTGACCCTCGACTTGAGGGTCTTGGGTTGACAGAATGGGAGGGTAACGAAGTTGTATGAGCTGGCACAGATGAGGAAGATGACGACGATAACGAAGAAGATATGGAAGGTGGAGGAGGATTAGGACCACCTGGGGATGATGAGGCATTGGCTGGAGTTGGAGAACTGAGTGGTACTGAGAGGCGAGCATTGACTGCTAAGAGGTGATCCCTCCGAGATATGAGAGAGCTCACAGTTTCTTCCAAACGAACATTTTCCTGCCGCAACTGATGTAAGCAGGACAGCAAAGATGCAACTGTTAAAAAAAAAAAAAAAAAAAATTATGAAAATTAGAAAAGCTAAACAAAATTCAAGAAATTACTAGTGAAGCTTATGTACATCCTAATATTAGAAAATGTAGTGCATTTTCTAATATAAAAAATTTCACCATACCTATCACAATCCTCACACTTGTTAATCGAATAAATGTTAATTTGCAGGTAACTACTCAGTCTATACAAAATAAAGAAAAAAGTATTAGAGCCTTTCAAGAATAATGAAATAAATATCAGAAGATAAAGAAATTAAAGTCTAAAATAATCTCAAACTTGTAGTAGAAGTCCAGAACAAGGATGAAAAACTTAGTATTGTAAACTGAAAAGATAATAATGGATTACATAATATATTAAAGGAACCATTAATGAAGAACCATGAAAATGTTAAAATCATCACACAAGTAACATGCACATGGGGGACTGAAACTTATGATGATGTTTTGGTCCAACTTAGGCCACTAACTGGTAAAACAGATAATTGCGAAGGGAAGGGAGCGATAAGCGGTAAAAAGAGGAAGAGTGAGAAGAAGAAGGAGAGGAAGTAGTGTACTAGAGGACAGAGGGTGGCAATAACAAGTAGTAGGTAGTGAAAGAGTGGGCAAGAGAAGGGTGTGGAGAGAGGTAGGAAGGAGGAGTAGGGGAGGAGGAAGAGGAGTGTAGAAAGAAGGAGGGGGAAGGAAGGAAGAAGAAGGAGGAGGAGAGGAAGAAGGAGGAAGAAGGAGAGGGGAAGGAAGGAAAAGAAGAAGAAGAAGAAGAAAGAAGAAGAAGAAGAAGAAGAAGAAGAAGAAGAAGAAAGAAGAAGAAGAAGACGAAGAAGACGAAGAAGACGAAGAAGAAGAAAGAAGACGAAGAAGAAGAGAAGAAGAAGAAAGAAGAAGACGAAGAAGACGAGAAGAACGAAAGTAGTAGTAGTAGTAGTAGTAGTAATAAGCAGTAGTTAGTTGTAGTAGATAGTGGTAAAGTAGTAGTTAGTAATAGTAGTATAGTAGTAGTAGTTAGTAAAGTGTAGTAGTTAGTAATAGTAGTAGTTAGTAATAGTAGTAGTAGTAATAGTTGTAGTTAGTAATAGTAGTAGCAGTTAGCAATAGTAGTTGTAGTAGTTAGTAATTGTAGTAGTAGTTAGTAATAGTAGTTAGCAATAGTAGTTGTAGTAGTTAGTATAGTAGTTGTAGTAGTTAGTAAATTGTAGTAGTTAGTAATAGTAGTAGTAGTTAGTAATAGTAGTATGTTAGTAATAGTAGTAATAGTATAGTAGTAGTTAGAGTAGTAGTAGTTAGTATTTAGTAATTAGTAGTAGTATAGTAGTAGTTAGTAGCAGTAGTATTTAGGTAGTAAGTTAGTAGTAGTTAGTAGTAGTTTAGTAGCAGTAGTAGGTAGTAGTTAGTAGCAGTAGTTAGTAGCAGTAGTTAGTAGCAGTAGTTAGTAGCAGTAGTTAGTAGCAGTAGTTAGTAGCAGTAGTCTTAGTAGCAGTACTTAGTAGCAGTAGTTAGTAGCAGTAGTTAGTAGCAGTAGTTAGTGGGTAGTTAGTAGCAGCAGCAGCAGTTAGTAGTAGCAGCAGTTAGTAGTAGCAGCAGTTAGTAGTAGTAGCAGTTAGTAGGAGTTAGTAGTAGTAGCAGTTAGTAGTATTAGCAGTTAGTAGTAGCAGCAGTTAGAAGTAGTAATTAGTAGTCGTAGTAGTTAAAGTAGAGGAGCACTGCATGACGGCTTATAGGGTTAGAATAAAATCCCTGTGGGACAAAACCCCTATAGGACAGAGCTCACTTACACAGAAGACAGGAAGGCAAAGAAAATAAGAAAGGTGAAGAGGTAAGGAGAGGAGGGAGATAAAGATCAAGTTGTGATTGTTCTTAAGTTTGGAGAATTTGACAATATAAGTTTCAGTTTCTTACATGCAAGTTATTTGTGTATTTTAATTAAATATAAAACAAAGCAAATGACTGGGTGGCCTATGAAGCTGGAACAATAAACAAATGGTCACCAAATTTCTCACAATTGTGTCAGGTTTCTTATACATGAGCATTATCAAAATAAAAATAATAATAGAGTAATTATACCTTGGTGAGAGATGGCCAGTGTTAAAAAAAAAATTATTTATTTTCCCATTAGACATATAGTAGGGCACTGCTTTTCGGTGTTCCGCTAATACGGCGATCTCAAATTATGACTAAAACATTCTATATGGCAAGCGGTCTTTCAAATACAGTACGTGCCACCCGGTTTGTTTACATTCTCCATGAGGACACCTCTCTATTACGTAATAATAATCAATCTTGGGCGCATTAATCCTTTCAGGGTCGAGAGGCCCTCTCCTAAACTCGTTCTCAGGGTCAAAAATTTTTTCTTATGAAAAGATAGAGAATCTTTTCCTGATCATAATGACACCAAAAGTATGAAATTTGATGGAAAACTTACGGAATTATGCTCTCGCTTAGTTACAGTCACAACGATGTTTATGCATCGGCGATTTCGCCCACTTTGAGCACTATTTTCAGCCAATTCCAGTGTACTAATCGACAAAAATCATAATTATTTTGCCAGAACTCCATTTTTTTCTATTGAATGAGTACAAGAAACCACCGATTTACCGGTTTCAACTATCCAATAAAGTGGTCAGAAATTAGCAATTTTGCCAATTTCACACAAAATTCAAAAGATGCCACTTTTCAAATAGAGTTCAGAATAAACAAGATAGACATTCCAGGCACTAAAATAATATTTCCTCGGTTAATTAGTCATGTCCCCAGGCCCCTCTTACATTTCTTTTGCTTTCCACTTTGAATTTTTATTCTCACAAAAAATAGAAGATTTACTGTTATGCAGACTACTGCATTAGTGTGTAAATGGTGCAAAAATGGTATAAATATTATCAGCACACTAGTGAAAGAATATTACTCACCAGTTGACATGTATTGGATGCGTGGCATGATTTGTTTACTTTAGAACTTCGGCAAAAATCAAACATTTCTGTTACTTCGAGCTCAATTTTAAGGTACTTTTCATTGTGAAACCAATCAAAATCATCTCAATTTCTGCAATATGTCTTCCATTCTATACAATGAGACCAGGAAAACTAGAATACAACCATAAATATCATACGAAAATACAGCGCAAAGTCGCTGTTTTAAACCAAAAAACAGAAACTATTTTTTTTCCTCACTATGCACTGTGTGCTGCAGGATTTTTTTTTATACTGTGCACACTGACCAAATAGACCCATTCTTTCATATGTAGGCCTAACAGCTTTCTCTTGCTAGATTCGAAGGCGCTAGAATTTAGGTGTACTAGTACGTCAATAACCCTAAGCCATACTAGTATGTCGGAAACCCTGAAAGGGTTAATTGTCTAATTTTACGTCAATACAGACATTTTCATTAATCCAGCTATGATATTTTCATCAAAATTATATAAAAAAGATACTACATAGCATATAAACATGCTGTTTATATGCTATGGAGGTGTGGTTGCAGGGTGGAGGGAAAACATTACGTAATGCTAATAATAATCACTCTTGGATAATTAAACGTCTTATTTCATGTCAATACTATAGACATTTTCATTAATCCATCTATGACATTTTCTTCAAAATTATATAAGAAACACATTACATAGTATATAAACGTGCTGTTTATATGCGATGGAGGTGTGGTTGCCGGGTAGAGGGAAAACATTACATAATACTAATAATAATCACTCTGCACATTAAATGTCTTATTTTACATTAATATGGACATTTTCATTAATCCATCTATGATATTTTCTTCAAAATTATATAAGAAAAGTTACATAGCATATAAACATTTTATGTTTATATGCTATGTTTATTTACTATGGAGGTGTGGTAGCCGGGCGGAGGGAAAACATTACATCACTCCCCTTAATACATAACACTGTTGTTTACAATTCTCGGCATGAATTATTCATTACTTCTCTCTTTGAATATCAAAATGGTATACAATACCGACAGGTTGGTAGGTAAGACACATAGGCAACATTTAGGCAACTTTATTCCGAAACGTTTCGCCTACACAGTAGGCTTCTTCAGTCGAGTACAGAAAGCAGGCTGGAGCAGTAGAGATGTGAAGACGATTACATCGTCTTCACATCTCTTCTGCTACTGATGTGAAGACATTACATCGTCTTCACATCTCTACTGCTCCTGCCTGCTTTCTGTACTCGACTGAAGAAGCCTACTGTGTAGGCGAAACGTTTCGGAATAAAGTTGCCTATGTGTCTTACCTACCAACCTGTCGGTATTGTATACCATTTTGATATTCACTCTGTCAGACACTGCAACACAATGGCATCTTGGTACAGAGGAGAAAACACCTTGGACAACTTTTTCAAGTGAGTATTGTTTGATCTGAGAGGGACATGACCTCTCGGTGGCTACATTCTCACTACTACTACTCTGCACCTTTCCTTCCGACAGTATTTAAGTCTCAACACTGTCACTTGATCTTCAGGTAGTTCCAGACTTTGGAACAGAACTTCTCCAGGCTAAGGGACTGACAACCTCAAATCTACGACTTCAAGGGTGATGGACTGATTACATCGTCTTCACATCTCAACTGCTCCTGCCTGCTTTCTGTACTTGACTGAAGAAGCCTACTGTGTAGGCTAAACGTTTCGGAATAAAGTTGCCTAAATGTTGCTTCTTACCTACCAACTTCTCTCTTTGTTTATGATGGCATCTAAAGGTAGTTGTTAGAAACGATTAAACGCAGTGAGCATGTTATTTTTTTTTTTTTCAACAAGTTAGCCATCTCCAACCGGGCAGGGTGACCCAAAAAGAAAGAAAATCCCCAAAAAGAAAATACTTTTATCATCATTCAACACTTTCACCTCACTCACACATAATCACTGTTTTTGCAGAGGTGCTCAGAACACAACAGTTTAGAAGCATGTACCTATAAAGATACACAACATATCCCTCCAAACTGCTAATATCCCAAAACCCCTCCTTTAGAGTGCAGGCATTGTACTTCCCATTTCCAGGACTCAAGTCCGGCTATATAAAAATACATAGGGTTGTAAAAGAAAGAATGATTGTTGGGGAGAGGTATGACATTAAGAAATAAAGAATCGATACAAAGAGGGAGTTGTCACAGTTGCTTTTTGCCAATGCCACATCCTCTTCGGAGATTCTGGAGAGAAATTTTAAAGGTTGGTAAAGAAATTTGAGAGGGTATAGAAAAGAAGGAAATTAAAAGTGAACACAGGAAAGAGCAAGGAAATGAGGGTAACAAAAAATTTAGGTAAAAGTGGATATCAGACTGGAAGGAGGGAGTATGGAGGAAATGGATGTATTTAGAAATTTGGGAGTGGACTTGTCAGCAGACAGATTTACGAATGAGGTAAACCACAGAATTAACAAAGAGAAAAAGTAGGTGATGCACTGAGGCATTTGTGGAGACAAAGAATATTATCCATGGAGGCAAAAAGGAAAATGTCTCAAAGAATAGTACCAAAATGCATACATGGGAGTGAAGCATGGGTTGTGAATGTTGCAGCAAGGAGGAGGCTGGATGCAGAGAAGTCACTGTATAAATCTGTAGAGGAAGGAAGAAGGGGTAGGGTTCATCCTAGGAAACACTGTAGGGCAAGTAAATGAAGTTTTGCATGCAAGGGGCTCGAACATCCAACAGGCAAGTGTGAGCATGTTAGATAGGAATGAGTGGAGGCAAGTGGTTTTTATTGACAATGTACTGTTGGAGAGTGAGCAAGGTAACACTTATGAATGGATTCAGGAAAACTGGTTAGCCGGATTTGAGTCCTAGAGCTGGGAAGTACAGTGCCTGTACTCTGGAGGAGGGGTGGGAATATTGCAGTTTGAAGAGGCATCTAAGTTGTAATATCCACGTGTCCTTGGCAGGACAATGATCGAGTGGATGATGGTTAAGTGTTTCTTCTTTTTTCGGGTTTTCGGGTCACCCTACCTCGGTGGGAGATAGCCGGTCTGTTAAAAAATTATATTGAAGAAATATCATATGTCCCTCTAAACAGCAAATATCCCAAACCCCTCCTTTAGAGTGCAGGCACTGTACTTCCCGCCTCAAGGAATCAAGTCTGGCTAACTGGTTTTCCCGAATTCGTTCACAAAATATTACCTTGCTCACATTCCCATAGCTCCTCAAGTCCCAAAAACCATTTGTCTCCACTTACTCCTATCTAACACACATGCCTACTGCATGTCCAAGCCCCTTGCACACAAAACCTCCTTTACCCCCTCCTCCATCCTTTCCTAGGACTATCATATCCACATGCCTCAGTAGTGTGAATTATGGTGAAAATTTTTCCTTTTTGGGTCACCCAGCCTCAGTGGAAGACAGCCAGCATGATAAAAAAAAAAAAAAATAAAGAAATAACGAGAAAATGGCATGCTTCACTGGTCACTTTTGAAATAATAGTCTTTAAATACGTATTTTTTTTTTTTTTTTATTATCACACCGGCCGATTCCCACCAAGGCAGGGTGGCCCGAAAAGAAAAACTTTCACCATCATTCACTCCATCACTGTCTTGCCAGAAGGGTGCTTTACACTACAGTTTTTAAACTGCAACATTAACACCCCTCCTTCAGAGTGCAGGCACTGTACTTCCCATCTCCAGGACTCAAGTCCGGCCTGCCGGTTTCCCTGAATCCCTTCATAAATGTTACTTTGCTCACACTCCAACAGCACGTCAAGTATAAAAACCATTTGCCCTCCATTCACTCCTATCAAACACGCTCACGCATGCCTGCTGGAAGTCCAAGCCCCTCGACACAAAACCTCCTTTACCCCCTCCCTCCAACCCTTCCTAGGCCGACCCCTACCCCGCCTTCCTTCCACTACAGACTGATACACTCTTGAAGTCATTCTGTTTCGCTCCATTCTCTCTACATGTCCGAACCACCTCAACAACCCTTCCTCAGCCTCTGGGGACAACATTTTTGGGTAACCCCGCACCTCCTCCTAACTTCCAAACTACGAATTCTCTGCATTATATTCACACCACACATTGCCCTCGACATGACATCTCCACTCCCTCCCAGCCTTCTCCCCGCTGCAAAATTCATCACCCCCCGCTTTACACCCATATAAGAGCGTTGGTTAAACTATAATCTCATACATTCCCTCTTTGCCTCCAAGGACAAGTTCTTTGGGCTCCACAGACTCCTAAGTGCACCACTCACTCTTTTTCCCTCATCAATTCTATGATTCACCTCATCTTTCATAGACCCATCTGCTGACACGTCCACTCCCAAATATCTGAATACGTTCACCTCCTCCATACTCTCTCCCTCCAATCTGATATTCAATCTTTCATCACCTAATCTTTTTGTTATCCTCATAACCTTACTCTTTCCTGTATTCACCTTTAATTTTCTTCTTTTGCACACCCTACCAAATTCATCCACCAATCTCTGCAACTTCTCTTCAGAATCTCCCAAGAGCACGGGAAATGCTAATAAAAACTGTTCACAGTGTATGTTAGACCCAAATCAGAACATGCAGAGATGATCTGGTGAATGCACCTAAAAGAAAACATATGGACAAGTTAGAAAAAATCCACTGAGCTACGAAATATCTACTAGAGATAAACAAAAAAATTACATTACCTATGACCTCAATGGCTAATAGAACAAAAAGCAGAAACATGATAAACACACAGAACATAAAGAAAAATAAAAGACAATTAGGGAAGAGACAACAGACAATTTTGGGGATGATTTGACATGATGTTGAATTGTGATAATGTAATACTTATGAAGGGATTCAGGTTAACAGGTAAGCCATACTTGGAGTCTTGGAGGTAGGAAATGCAGTATCTGCACTGTGAAGGGGTAGAAGAGATGTTGCAGTTCAGAGAGTCATCCAAAATGTTATGTCTGTGCCCTTCTGACAAGATGTTTACTGAATGAAAGTGAATTTTATTTTGGGTCATCCTACCTTCATGAGAGGCAGCCAGTTGGTATATATAAAAAAAAATAGTAGTCACTAAAGAAGAAGGGTTTAAAGATTACCACAGTGATGTAGAACAATGGAACAGATTACAAGAGGGTATAAGTGCTATAAACAATGGAAATATTAACAAATTATAAGATAAATTAAAAACTTAAGATGGGACACAACCATGATCATTGGTTTGCTTCCCTAGCTACAAATAGGCAATTATATGTAAGAATTTAAGCCTTTTTTAAAATCTAAACAATGCACATTTACAAAATGCACAAACTGTAAATCCACTTTATTAGTGATTCATCATTTCCATTATAATACCTGTTCACTCCGATTCCAACAGCATATCATGAACATGCATTCCATTATGACTAAACAAAAATAAAACAAAACTAGTCAATTTTGTATTATAATCATATACACATTTCTCTGAACTTACTATCAAAATGTTGAGCCTGCTCCATAAGGAACTGACTCCCTTGTTCCCACTGGCGTTCCAATAGCTGTTCCAGGCTCTGTGGGAAAGGTGGTGGCTGACTGCTCCCATTACTATTACTTCCACTTGTATTCTATGGAAAAATGGATGATCATGAATGTCTTCTATAAAACACATTATTAACAATTAAATTACCAAATTTACTACACCACAAGATTACTCTTCATTCAGCATGTATGAGAAGCTGATGTCAGATGAAAATTGTACTCTCAGTTACCCTTCCCCAAATAACACTTCAACTAGTCCCACCTTGTATACTTGCTAGTGCACCTTCACAAGACCAAGTACATTCTTCTTCTTTTAACAAACCAGCCGTATCTCACCGAGGCAGGGTGGCCCAATAAGAATAACGAAAGTTTCTCTTTTTAAAATTAGTAGCACTATATACAGGAGAAGGGGTTACTAGCCCCTTGCACCTGGCATTTTAGTCGCCTCTTACGACATTTATGGCATACGAAGGAAGAATTCCGTTCCACTTCCCCATGGAGATAAGCGGAAATACACAAGAACAAGAACTAGTAAGAAAATAGAAGAAAACCCAGAGGGGTGTGTATATACAGTGGACCCCCGCATAGCGACTTTAATCCGTGCAAGAGGGCTCATTGTTATGCGAAATGATCGGTATGCGAATGAATTTTCCCCATAAGAAATAATGGAAATCAAATTAATCCGAGCAAGACACCCAAAAGTATGAAAAAAAAAATTTTACCACATGAAATATACATTTTCCTACACACAAAGAGAAGGATACATGCACAATAGTAGAGTAGTACATGCACATATATATTGTGCATGTACTACTCTATAAATGAAGAATAAATGACACTTACCATTATTGAAGATGCAGCAATGACTGATGAGACACTGTGTCCTGGGAGTGCCTTTTCCTCCTGAGTACTGTATGGTCCCGTTTGGCATTTTCTTCCAGAACAGGCTTATCACACTGTGCATGCCACTACGATTCTTAATCTCTCAAACCAACCTTTGCTGGCTTTAAATTCACCAATATGAGCACTAGTTCCAGGCATTTTTCCCTGTTCACCTGGGGTGTTAGTCGACTGGTGTGGGTTGCATCCTGGGAGACAAGATTAAGGACCCCAATGGAAATAAGTTAGACAGTCTTCGATGACACTGACTTTTTTGGGTTATCCTGGGTGGCAAAATCCTCTGGGGTTAATTGTTTCTTGGTATTCTCAATAAGCCACACCAACAACGGTTTGCTACAGCAGCAGCGCAGCAGCTGACAGTGCTACAGCAGCAGCAGACGATGCTACAGCAGCAGCAGACGATGCTACAGCAGCAGCAGCTGACAGTGCTACAGCAGCAGCAGACGATGCTACAGCAGCAGCAGACGATGCTACAGCAGCAGCAGACAATGCTACAGCAGCAGCAGGCGATGCTACAGCAGCAGCAGCAGCTGTACCACCAATAGTAGCGATGGTTTGATTGGGGTTTATTATACAACCTGGCCAGCTCGGAGACACGCACTCACTTTCATACTTATCAATGATCTTTTTCTTCATCTCTATAGTAATTCTCACCCTTATTGCTGTAGGGTTGGCACTAGAAGCTTTCTTGGAGCCCATGGTCACTTATTTTGCAGATAAAATAACCAAAAACACTGTAATAATACGAAATGTTCCGATTGTATGCTTGGATGTTACCGCGGAGGCTGGCTGGTAAACAATGCCACCGGCGGCACATGTGAGGCTGGCTAAGGGCGCACATTGGACGCGTCTCGGACGAAGAGCGGTGAGCGGGTTTTTGAGCGGTATGCGAGGCAAAATTTTTGCGATAAAAGCGAGCGGTATGCGGATTGAACGTTATGTGATGCGCACGGTATGCGGGGGTCCACTGTATATGCTTGTACAAGTCCGGTAGCCGGATTTGAGTCCAGGAAGTGGGACGTACAATGTCTTCACTTTAAAGGAGGGGTTTGGAATATTGGCAGTTTGGAGAGACATCTAACCTGTTGTATCTGGGCGCCTCTGCAAAGACAGTGATTATGTATGAGTGTTGGTGAAAGTGTTGAATGATGAGTTTTTTCTTTCTTTCTGGGTTTTTCTTTCTGTTTAGGTCACCCTATCTCAGTGGGAAATGGCCGACGTGTTAAAAAAAAAAAATGCGTTCAGTAGTGTGACCTAAGTAGAAGAAGCAAGTCATACCAGAAACCTTTCATGTTTATTAGACACAAAAAAGGCACCAGCAATCCTACCATCATGTAAAACAATTATAGATTTTCATTAGCACCTTCTTGGGCAGCTGTTGTCTACCAACCTACTACCTAGGACCAGGTACATGCATGAATGAAAATTATAGCGGTACATACTCAAAAATGGACAAAATTATCTTTTATGCATAACTATTTACTAGAGCATTTTTCACAGATTTAAAAACAGGTCATTCACGACAATGTACACTGGGACCTCTGCCTACAAGTGCCCCACTATGTGAGTTTTTCAGGATATGAGCAGTCACTCGGTCGATTTTTTGCTCCTGGATACGAGCCAAAATTCAGGTTGTGAGCTTCCCCCTCAAGGGAGGTTCCTTGACGCTGGTGGGGGGCTCTTGATCTAGGGAATTGTATCTGTGCTCCAGTTTCCCCCCCCCCCATAGTTAAGCGATTAAGTGATAGAAAAAGACGAAACGAAATGAACTCCTCCAATGTTGTTGTTGGGGTTTATAGAGCCACTGACAGCATGCACTGCTCTGCTTATCTTTTCCACCATCAACCTCTGCCAGCATCTCTTCTCCAAGGTAAATGCTGTATGTACACCAGTTTATTTTTTTTTTACATTCTCTATTATGTTTATGTTTTTATACAATATATTTTATTTCATTGTTTTCCCTATGAAACTAGTGATCTAGTGCAGTTAGCCTCACAAACACTCCATTTTCTCTAGTAATAACACCTCAGAAGGGGAAGCATGGGAAAATGCTTTAAGAGCGGGAGCAGGAATGGCCGCCACCACTTGTCACACAATGACATATTTTATTCATTCTAAAGTATATATCAGGTTTCTATGTTATTTATATTGTTTATTATGTCATACTAGATGAACTGCGATAGATAAATATGCCGTACAGTTGATATTATTGTTATATTGAAGTATTTTGTCCTGCCTCCTGAGAGCAGGAATTCCGCTGGAACGGATTAATGGCATTTCAATTAATTTAAACGAGGAAAATTGGCTCAGCATACGAGCAGATCGGGTTATGAGCTAGGTCATGAAATGGAATTAAACTCATAGTCAGAGGTTCCACTCTATTGTTTTTAAAGTTACCCACTGATTATGCTTGAAATTCCCTAGACTTATCACCCCCTAAATGGTGTCACCGGTGACACCATTTAGGGGGTGACACCGAAGAGCCTTTAAAGAAGGTGACACTAAGAACATAAGAAAGGAGGAACACTGCAACAGGCCTGTTGGCCCATACTAGGCAGTGCTGCAGCAACATAAGAGAAAAATCCTTTGTTTCTATATAGCCTATTATATGATTACAGAGTACAAATAGTACAGTACAGTGACGCTACATGATAAACTACGATAAATCGATAATTTTATTTATGATGCTCTGGAAAAACCCTTAATCGCCCTGGCATCACTATGATCAGTCATCAGTGACGTAACATACTGTGTCTGCTGCACCGCCCACCAGTGAGTTTGGTCCAGGTGGTGTATATGTGGCTGGGTTAAACAGACAAAGGGTCAGGTAATTATCATATTTTGAGCTTTACTTTTGCTTATTGGTGATATCAGTCATGTTCATGAACCAAGATATATGAGCGGGTGAGAACTGATATTCATGAAATGTTGAAATAACCGTGGTACGTAAGAACATAAGAATGAAGGAACACTGCAGAAGGCCTACTGAACCATACAAGGCAGGTTCTTATCAAAACTACCCCTACCCAAAGCTTTTCCACCACATGTATAAAAACAACTACAACTACTACTACCTCTACTTGTACTACACCTCACTCAAAGCCTATATATACCCTCTGTGTCCATGTATTGTTTGTATCAGCTTGACAAAGTTCCTGGAAAGTGAAACATTGCCCCTCTCTACTTTGTATTGGACTGACGAAGCCATTGTGTGGCGAAACGTTTCTTTAATAATGATTCCCGTAAATGTCTCAATCTTCAATTTGTCAGTTTTCAAACCTTTTATCACAGTAGTGAATGTACATGCCACTCTACATAGGCTTGTGCTACACAGAAAAACCAAAACCTGTATCTGAGAGGTGGATATTAACATCAAGGTAAGGTAGCAAGGAATTAGATTCCCACTGAAGATTGAGACACTTATACAACATAAGAACATAAGAAAAGAGGAACACTGCAGCAGGCCTGTTGGCCCACTTTGTATTGTACTGATGAAGCTACACAGTGGCTAGAGTCATCAGGACAAAGAGCAAAGATGTCATCTACATACACAACTTTCCTTGTATGAGTGAATATCAAAATGGTATACAATACCGACAGGTTGGTAGGTAAGACACATAGGCAACAGTTAGGCAACTTTATTCCGAAACGTTTTGCCTACACAGTAGGCTTCTTCAGTTCTTCAATCGAGTACAGAAAGGAGACAAGAGCAGTAGAGATGTGAAGACGATGTAATCAGTCCATCACCCTTGAAGTCGTAGATTTGAGGTTGTCAGTCCCTCAGCCTGGAGATGTTCTGTTCCATAGTCTGGAACTATCTGTTGCCTATGTATCTTACCTACCTTTCTTTGTATGAATCTTAGTCCAGGCTTCGTCTCTGTAGATGCCTTCCTTTCCCATTACATTGTAAAATGCTCCAAACTTCAGAACACCTGTGACTTAACCTGATTCTTTTTTCCCCCTTCTCCTTTGGGGTTTTCTTTCTTCTGCCTTGGGTATTTGGTTCATTATTATTATTAATTCCCCCACTCCCTCTGTTTTTGTTCCTACCCTTTGTGGGCCCCTAGCTCCCTTGCAGTGCTCCTCTTTCTTAGTATTTGACTCGCTCCACTATACTACTACTACCTCTACGACTACCTTTCTTCCTCCTTTGTCCCGTCCCTGTCTGTTGGCCTATATATACTGC